GAATCCAAAAATGCAATAATATACAGGACATTCCATTTAAAAAAAACGCAACTTTGATACCTTTAGAGCTCTTGGGACACCCTGTACATTACAAAAATATTTTTAAAATGTGCGCTCGGTAGGCGTCGGACAATTCGTAAAATAATACTTTTTAAACATCAAACGGTTTAGCCGCAAACTTTCGTGCCGTATAGCGTGAATAACCCTGTATATATACGAGTTATCGGAGTGAAAATTTCGAAAATTTCATGAATGAATGTCGTAGGTTATCTGTGACTAAACAAAATCAACACAGAACATAATGCATAGCAATGCAATATTGCACACTCCAAATAAACCCATTATAATGGGGATTACCCAAGAACTTATGGTCAAATTGAACTAATGGTCAAATATACAGTATTACAGGATAAATTATCAAACACAAACATAGAAAAAATGGAAGACGAATACTGCACAGACGAAGAAGAACTAAGCAAGGAAACGGAATGGATTCGGGTCAGGAATGCAAAAAAGAGAAAAGCAAGCACTTCCCCAAAAGAACCGGTGCAACGTAACATCATAAAAAAACACTCTACAACAGCAGCAAAACAATACAGAAAAGAAACCTCCACCAGTAATTATCAGCAAAACTGATAATTACAATGGCTTAACTGACGATTTGGTGAAAAGTCAAATAAAGTTCCAGACAAGCATGCTTGCTGGAGAAAAGAAAAAAATAAACGTCAATGACGCAAGCGACTATAGGAATTTAACAACTGTAGTCAAAAATATGAATCTTGAATGGCATTCTTTTCAAGACAAACAGTCTAGACCAATCAAAGCGGTGGTTAGAAATTTACACCACACCTGCAAAATAGAAGATATCACTGGATTAAAAATATTGGATGTGTACCAGCTTTTGAGAAGCAAAGACAAAACTCTGTTAAAATGCCATAATATACAGGACATTCCATTTAAAAAAACGCAACGTTGATACCTTTAGAGCTCTTGGGCACCCTGTACATTACAAAAATATTTTTAAAATGTGCGCTCGGTAGGCGTCGGACAATTCATAAAATAATACTTTTCAAAAATCAAACGGTTTAGCCGCAAACTTCCGTGCCGTATAGCGTGAATAACCCTGAATATGTCGCGTAAAGATCTCAACGGTAATTCAACTAGATTCTAGATGAACATGCAGAGAACAGCGCTCAAATGGATTATCCGCTTCTGATCGGTTTATGCGGTCAACGCTGCCCACTGTTTAAGGAGCACCTGTTCCTTCAATGGTCTAGTTCATTAGCATCGACCCACCCACTAGTGGGAACTTCCTTTCTAGGTCGGCCTACCCAAAAAGGGAAATTTTTGGTCACCGCCCAACTCTCTTGAATTCCAAGTGACCATCGCCCCGATAAGGCGAGCGCACGTCTTAGTGGCTATTTTCGACCAGTTTACACTTGGTCTTTGGTAGTGTTCTTGTGTCTTGCATACCACTTGGTTTTTTTTTCGTGCATATTCCTTGAGGTGAGTGCGAATCGACTTGAAAATGTATCCAAGTGGCTGCTGGCGTGGAACCAACCGGCGAATCTATTTTCAGTGCCACTTTACACGCTGGACCCTCACACATATTTTATTTATGCCATTGTCCCCCTTTCGCGATTAACGGGACATTAAGAAGCCAGGTCGTTAAGAGCGCCAACATTTGGCACAGATTCTGCCTCAAATGCCGATAGAGATGCACAGGGGACTCAGGAAGCAATCCAGATATGGACAAGCGCTCTTAAAATTTGGCACAATTTGGTGGGTCAGCAACATCCAGGCCAATTAACTGCTTCATTTTTCCCATGCCTAAGCGGCGCACTTTGCTGAATGTTGTGCGAGGTCTGCGAAACAGTATCAGTGTTTCTTTTTTGTGGGTTTCACACGAATATTCCGTATATCCAAACGTTGCGAAAAAAGCGACTGTTATTGGAAAGAATCTGATTAGCCGATATACGCGGTGGATCCACTGATTGATTGGAGAATCCCCGGTGAGGAACCGAGCATCTTCTGGAAAGTTGCGTGTTGGACGAGATGCTCATCGCCCTGTATATGTCTGGGATATGTGGGAGTAACACTTTTCTTGGGTTCACAGGCGTCTTTGGATGTGCGAGCAGCAGGTCGTCGAGCAGTGAACACATTGGCCAGCTCCAAAATGTCCGATAGTCTGGTTATTCTTCACTACAACGACGTCTACAATGTAGAGGCGCGCCAAGGGCCGGAACCAATTGGAGGCGCCGCCCGGTTCTGCACCGCCATCAAAAGCCTGGAGGCCCTCAACCCTCTGGTGCTGTTCAGTGGCGACGCCTTCTCTCCCAGTATGCGTAAGTCTTTCCAGATAATTCATGGTGCAGATTGCAATGTTCCGTTTCCAGTAAGCACCTTCACCAAGGGCGAGCACATGGTTCCAGTGCTGAACGAAATCGGTACTCATTGCGCAGTGTTGGGCAACCATGACTTTGGTAATCAATAAAATTGGCGCAAGACAAAAGTATCCTCCAATCCGGTTGTTTTCCAGATCACGGCTTGGAGATGCTGAGCAAGTGGGTGGAGCAATCCAACTTTCCCTGGCTCATGTCCAACGTGGTGGACAATGAGACGGGCCGCCCGTTGGGGGAGGGGCGCATCACTCACGTGGTCAATTGGGGAGGGCGTCGCATCGGCTTGGTGGGCTTGGTGGAGAAGGAATGGCTGGACACCTTGGCCACCATCAATCCGGAAGAAGTCACCTTTTTGGACTTTGTCGAGGCTGGCCAGAAGCTAGCGGCCCAATTGAAGCAAGAGGTAAATCCAGCTTCCCAGATAGCACACAAATATTACAGTAATATTTTTTGCAATATTTAATATAGGTTGAAGCGACAGATTCTTGAATATTATAACAATATTTCTTTG